CTCTCTCTCTCTCTCTCTCTCTCTCTCTCTCTCTCTCTCTCTTTCTCCACGAGGTGTGTGAGAAGCATTTCCTAATTTCCTGCTCCTTTTCCTTTTCACAGAATGATAAACCCCACCGAGCGCGCGCGCACGCACACGCACGCACACGCACACACACGCACACACACGCACACCACACAACACACACTGCGGTCTGCTGTTAAAAGATAGCCTACTCAGTTTAATGCGACTGAACAGAATTTTTCCTCCTGTCTCTGATCTCACGCTTCTGCTTCTCAACAGTCAGAAGTAAAGCTTATATATGTATATACATCCTCGTCTGGACGTGTCCAATGCAGTGTGAGGGTCATACACACTTCCTCTCTCTCTCTCTCCAGCACACACCCAACACACATCTCACGCTGAGTCCAAATTCATGTTTTGGTGAATTGGTGGATAATTCTTATGAATTTGGATCTCATTTATAGCGTGTTGTAAAAGTGTGCTTTAGTTTAGAAGCGGACCTTAGCCTACGGTATGCAATTGCTTATTCTAATCATACATTTTTGACAAATCAGAAATCAATCATTTGTTTTTGTACAAATTCATACAAAATTGCCAGTTTATCAAATACATTTTCTCATGACATCAGGTCGGGATCTTTCGGTCTGTAGGTAAAAAAAAAAAAAAGCATGAAAGAAAAATAAAAACAACCTTTGCTTAGTTTGTTTTGGTAGATTTACCTACATTTTCATGCATAAGAAATATTTTATACAGATTCCTGTCCTGTGTGTGTGTGTGTGTGTGTGTGTGTGTGTGTGTGTGTTGGGAATGGGATGTAGCCTATGTAGAGTCACAGCAGCGTCACTCTTTCTGTTACTCGCTGTTGCCTATAGCAACACACCTGTCAGGACGGCCATAGGGTTTACCTGAGCTTCCTCACAAACACACATCACAAAAAACACACTATTCCGCTCTCAAAGAGCCCGTTCTCAACGCTTCCACTCCTCAACGTGTGTTCAAGTCTCATTTCAGGATTCAGAGCCAGAAAAACGAAAATGAAAACAATCGCGATTTGGCAAATACACATAATTATACATGTAGCCTTTACATGTATCCTCCGTCTTTGTGAATTAACAACCAGAACTGAATTAGTTCCACCTAATTCAAGAGTCCTTTCATAGGATTTGAGTTCTGCTCCTTTATTTGACCACACACACGGGTCTGGCAGATGGAATAGCCTACATTTGTGCAAATTATTTCTAATTGTGAGCTAAAAAAAAAAATTAACAAATTAAAAAAAAGCCACAGCATAATATAAGTATTTTATGAAGGACATGATCTTCATTATCTGTAGAAAAGCATGTATATGTAAAGTGTAAATACAATTTAACAGCCAATGATGTTAAAATATGAAATATTTAGGCCAGATTACGGTTTTGTTTTTTGAGATTCATGTATTGTTTTACTTTTCTGTAACTTTAGTGTTCATTGGACTTTATGAAGTAAAATGTTAGTGAATGTTATTTTAAGACAATTGAATCATAAATGCATGCAAGAGTCTTGACACAAAAATAAATTGACAAAATAAAACGAATAAACAAGAACCATGCAGCCTTTCAATAAATGAACATCTTTGCAATCGTTTATTCATTTCTCAAGAGAGTATGAAATATCATATTAAACATGAGTAATGATCAAATTAGTGTGGCTATATTTATCAGAAGATATTTTTAACCTGAGTTCTTCAAGGTCTCACCGGATGAACAATGTCAAGATTAAAAGCAAATCAATTGTGCAACAGTTAGGCTGCAATATGAAAAATATTATGTTCAGAAACACTGATGCATGAAAGAAAACAACGGCATTTAATTTTGATGCCAATACTGAAAATCATAAATCATAAATAAACACATCTTATTTTAAAACAACTTAATTTTTTTTCCATTCACATAATAAATACATTTTGCAGTACCATTTTGCATTATTTTATTTGGTGTGTGAGGAGGGGGGGGGGGGGGGCATTTTGAGTATATACATCATAAATATGTTTTTCTCACTCTGAGAAAACAGCCAGTTTCTTATAAATACATGAAGAAGGAGTGAGGTAAAGGCTGGAGTCCGTCAGTGTAAACCTCAAATCACCAAACAGCAGCAACTGTCAATCACACACACACACACACACACACACACACACTTATTCAGCCAGCCTAGAGTCGCCACTCCATTTATATTATTGGTACAGTTATTCGAGGGTTTCATAATTGCATAATCTCAGTTTTCATTATAAAGGCTGATATTTAAGAGGCTTGCAGAAGGACAACAAAAGAGAAAAAGAAAAAAGGTTCATTTGTTCCAGTCAATAATATACAATAATGTGCTCAACCGATTTTTTTTTTTTGTTTAAAAAAATAAATACAAGTTTCAAATTGAATCTTCAGCCCAGATGGACAGCATATGCAACTACAAAAAAAAAAAAAAAAAAAAAAAAAATCCCAGTACACATGAGCTATAAGATTCAATTCTACAGCAACCTTAAACAGTTATGAAACAATAATAAATTAATGCTGCAGTTTGCATTAGAACTAGTTATTGATCAGCATGCTACTTCCAATTTTTTCTTGCAATATTAAAAAGTCTATTCTTCAATGCCACAAAAGTACTCGTTAACATCAGACGACTGCTATGATGTCTCGTCAAGTATCGAGGGGAAACGATCCTGGAGGCGATTCGAGACCATGGATGTGGAATTGTTGCATTAAAAATAAACCAAAAACAAACAATCCCAAAACATTTTTTACGTGTAGCTTTAAACACAAAGTATCTGTGACCCAACAGTAAATTAAATAATTAAATACTTTAGATTAAAAAAAAAAAAAAACGCTATTACGCAGTCTTGTAATTTCTTGATATTGATTAATGTCTTTCAGAGGTGATTTGGGAAATCCTCATTCATTGAAGAATTTACAGCTTATAATAGTGGTCGAGATAGAAATGTGATAATCGGGTAAATAAAGTATTTGACAAACAAACCCTTTTCTGTCGAGTGTCGCTTTCACAGATTAATACACTGAACAAATGTTCTTAATCTTGTTTTCCAGTAAAAATATCTCAACATCCTTAAAATAAGATGTTTATTATCATATACAAAATTGCATAAGATAATTAAAGACTTGTTTTCAATTTTCTTATTCTATCAATTAAGTGTTTGTTGTTCCTTCTTAAGCATAAACCTCAGTAAATTTGAAGACAGTAAATTATAAATGTATTCCCAGTGAAGTGTTTAGCTTTTCAGGTAAATGCATGTTTTAAGGATGTTTCATTCTTTACTAGTCAACAATTAACTCTTTCCCCACCGGCTTTCAGTGTGTTTTCACTGTTATACGGTAGGGGGCGCTGTTACACATCATCCAAAAGATGGCTGAATCTCCAGATCAAAACACAGGAAAGAAGAAGCGGAAACAAGCGATATCTTATGTAAGCGATGCATATTTAAAATAACGTGATCCTTAACATTAAACAGCATATAAACCAAGAAACGTGATTTTCTCAGCTTTTTGCTCAAAATGTTGATTTTTTATGAAAAAAAAAGAATAAAACTGGTTTGTCGTTTAAAAGCAGAGGGTCTGTAGTTTCTTTTGATATATTACATGTTTAGATTTTCATACAACAAAATATTCCATGAAATGTTCATGAAAATAACAACCAGTCCCTCCAGGATTTCACGATTTTTGCGATCAAAATGACTGATTTTGTGGTGGTAATTTCCAAAAATTTGTGAAAAAATTAGCGATTTATATATAACATTTACCATAATAGTATTCAGTCCTTCCAGAAAAACGCAGAGTTTTTTTGTGATTGTTGCGGGCAAAAATTGATTGATTACGCGGCTCGTTTTCTTTAAAAATGCGATGGAATATCCAGGATATTTATGCAATTTTATGCAATGAAATTTTGCACGGAAATCGGCATATTATGCGGCAAAAGTGCGGCGTATTTGAAAAAATGCGGCCTCCGCATAAATATGCGGACTTTGGCTGATTTTGCATTGAATTCAGTGATCGCATAATCGCATTTTTTCTGGAGAGACTGAACAACCCGATCTCACGGCATTTCGTGAGTATTTTACGAGGTGGCCAAATCGTACGAATTCATACAACCTCGTGTACATTTCGCTAAATCGTACATATTTTATGAGTTGCCCAATTCGCATGAATTCGTACGAATGACCTACTTCTGACTCCGCCCCTAAACCTAACCGAGTACAAGTGAGGTTGTAAGAATTCATACGAATTAGCCACTTTATACTCCAAATGGGTCGCAAGATAGCATTGAAAATGATCAAAAATGCTGGCGGTGACAACTTTTTGGGGGTTGAAAATGCTGGTGGGGAAAGAGTTAAGAGAAAGCAAATCTAGGCTAGCATGTGCGAGTGAAGCGCCGAGTGGCTGGATTAGCATCAGCTGCCGTTGGTGATGATGACGGAGGTGCCTTTATGACCCGGCGTTTGCTCGGCCTGCATGCGTAGATGAGTGGCCATGTCGTAATGGGAGGAGCCCGAGCACCCCAGGGAGTATCCTCGAAAGCTGTCGGCCTCGTACAGATGTTCTAGTGCGTAGCTGGTGAGCGAGTAGGCCGTGTGTTTCTCCAGGTACTGGCGGGTTTGTGAGGGGTAGAGCGCGGGGGTCGGAGAGACGCCGCACGTTGACAGCGGCTGCTGTTGGGACGAGGAAAGCTCGTTTTGCATGAAGTCTTTACTTTTCCCCAGTCTGTCAGCGATGGGGCTGCTGAGGCGGGACAGAGGAACAGGGCTGGGGGCGGGGCTTATCCCCTGAGCCGGCCCCCGACACACCCCTCCCTGCAAACCCGGCTGGGGAAAGTCCGTGTGAAAAGACGGGCCGTGGCTCTTGGCCAGACCGTTTGTAGCCTCCAGAGGTATTTCTGCAGGAGGCTTTCGCAGCTGCAGACGACTCTCCTCCTCTTTGATCATCTGTTGCGTGGCTCGAATCAATGTCTCAATCTTGCTGGGCTCTTGAGGACTTGCGCGGTAGCGGTCGCCTGAGTCGCTCGCGGAGCCGCCATCGGGTGAGCTGACCACGCTGTCCTCGTCCCAGTGACCCCTCACTGCAAGGGCAAGAGATCAGCGTTACCAGGTGGAATTAGACAGTGAACCAAAACAAACACTTTTTTTCTTTGGCTGAGTGGAACAAAAAAGAGGGAACGATCCCTTTCAATTGTTCCAGAGCGCAATCGTTATTTTAGGGGGGTTTCACACTGCGGTCCGAGTCCGAGCGCCAATGTTGGCCCGGCTTCCCACTCAACTCGACTCTATCGAACCCTGGTGCACTTGTGTTCATCTTACGTCATCACAAACGAGCACGCCGCATGATAGTCAACAGAACAAGGGCAATATATCGTGTTTTGGAGCTAATATGAGCAGCCGAGTAAATGACACTTCACGATATGAAATGTCTTTCGCTGCTTCTCGGACTCTGGACAGTGGATTGCCGTTAATTCGCCGCCCTGATAGCAAACTCTATGCGCAAATACTCTGCGCTTACTAGTATCGAAGGTCAATCATCAACACTATCATCCCTGACATTATTAAACGAAATATATCGTAATCGGCTAAAGTGCATGTGCAACTTCCTGAACAAGTTTGCTCCAGAATCCATGTTGCTTTCACATTCACATTCTTCAGGTCGTCTCGGGTTCGGTACACATTCACATTAGTCCTTTTTCATGCAAACCGTGCCCCGTTTTAAACTGGCAGTGTGAAAGCACCCTTAAACAGCAGGTTAAGAACATTATTATATTTGGAGTGTGCCTGTAACCTTTTACTTGGTTCTAACCAGTTATGATTTGGAAAGCCAAAACCTATTGTTTCTGCTCTGAACAAACCAAAATTAAAAACATTTTTACCCTTATGCATTACGATTCCATACATATCACGACACTGAACTCACAATACAATATTATTGCGATACTCTGGGTGAATTATACACAATACATATAGTCACTATTCATGACACGTATTGATGCATTTATGTATTGCGCTAATATCCACTAAAAGAAACACACCTTGCAGGCTGTGGATGGAGGCAATGTGTGGCATCACAGCATCAAAACTGTCCCCGTTCTCGGACGAGGGCTTGGGTAGCGGGAGGACGGAGCGCGCACCCCACCACGCCTCTCGCCCGGGCTGAGGGGTCCCGAGGAAGTACCGCCCGGCCTTACAGCGCCCCCTGTCGCAGGACTCGGAGTGAGTGTGTCCGTAGAGGTCGCCGGAGGAGTGGTCGTCGGTCAGCGGGAGGCCGTAGCACAGCGGCCGTGGTTCGGAGAACTGTCGGTACACGCACGAGGAGTCTACGCCTTCGCACTGCTCCAGAAGCTGAGGAGACGCCGAGTCAGTGAGGGGACTCCCGCCCCACGGGCTATCCTGATCCGACTCCGAGCGATCCGTGGGGAAACCCGGATACTTCACAAGAAAAGAAGACGCATTAATGCAGTGGTTTCTATCAGTGTTCCTGGAGGCTCCCCAACAGTACACAATTTGGATGTTTTCCTCATCCATTTCAGGTCTTTGGGCCAGGTTCACTAAACAGGGCAAATTAGCATGAGAGCACAATCCCATAAAAGCAGCGATGGGAGTGGAAAGCTCAGCCAGACGATACACAAATGAACGAACACAGATGCAGCCGGATCATTTCCATGAGGACCAACATAAACTACAAAAAAGCAGCGCAAGTTGTTTAAGACATGCTTTCTTTAGAGAGGTAAATAATGGCACAAATACCAGTAAATTGACGAGCGCAAATCTTAATTACATTGCATGATTCATTTAAAGGGGACATATCATGCAAAATCCACTTTTTTTAGCCCTTAAATGCATTTTGTTGTATATTTGGAGTGTTTATAAGTACAGAAAAGATGAAATTATTTCTTCAGGTGCTTCGTTTATATCTTTATATTCTGTTTTGGTCATATTTTTCAACCTGTTCAGATTTTTCTGTTCTCTATGACATTTTTTGAGCAAGTGCGTCACCGTATTTGCTTGATGGACGAGTCTTCTGTTGTTGACATTTTATTAACGTGTGAATAAAAATGTTCTTTGAAGGTATCGAATATAATCGTATATCTCTAATCAAACTACAATAATGGCCGATTGTGGGGAGTTGAACCGACCGTGGACTCATCGACCTGGAGAGCGGGCGGGGTGTGACGCATCTCCTTTTTATTTAAAGGGGCCGCTTTGAAACGGGTCGCTCACAGACGCACATCAGAAAAGGGGCCTGTGGAGCTACAATAATGAGGAATTCAGACCCAAGCATTGCAGTTATGTTTTATATAGACCACAACGGTATGATTTATATGTAAAAATGAATGATTTAAAAGCATGATATGTACCCTTTAAAGTCTCTCCTCCCATACATTTTGCATCTGAAAGGGAAACTCCAACAAATGCATACGCAGCTGCAAAAATAACCCCGTGCAAGCCTTTTCAGCGCTCAATTTTCACTGCGTGTCACAAGTAAATCATTTTTGGAACAGCAAACGGTGGTTAAGTAAATCTGGCCCTTAGCATCTCTACTAATGAGCTGATGAGATGTTTCTGGTGTGTTTGATTAGGAAGAGTTGTCTAGAGTTGGGGTTGTATGAAGTTGTTAGGTCGTGCCGGTATATGTAAAGCACTTTGTGTTGTTTCTAAAAGTGCAAGATAAATAAATGTGATTGATTGATTGATTGATTGATTGGGGTGCCTCCAAGAACAAGGTTTGGAAACACAGCCAACTTATATGACTTTACCATTAAGGGTAAAATTAAGCACAAGTGTGATTTACACACATGGAACATGTCCATGGATCAACATCCAACCCTAAATCTACCCCAACCCTACCCTTAAAATTATAGTGCAATGATTGCATGTTATTCCAGGGGGTAACCCTATCACTAGCCCAAAACCTTAAATTAGAAGGCAATGATTGGTTTATGAGAATGTCAGGAACATGTCCTCTGTAAATCACATTCGAAGTCTTCCCAGCAACACAAGACCTTCCTCGAGTTTCCAATCCAGCCGACTGTACGGTGCTCCTGTGACACTGACCTGTGAATACGGAGACAGCCTCGTTTTGGTCTTGGTACGTGACACCCTGCTCTTGCCGACTCGTCTGTTCTCGCTGGCGGGGTTGGAGGGGCTGTTGTAGGTGAACGAGGGTTTGGTGGACGTCACCTGGTCTAAAGACAACTGTAGTCCTTTGTACTCCGTGTCCCTGTTGAGAAATGACAACGACATTGAGCGCCGGACGCTGCGACTGCGTTAAGAAGCCGTGTATTGGCGCATTTCTCCTTCACCTAAATGTACGGTCAGGCTTTTTTTTAAAAAGGAAGATTTTTCAGGCTCCATGCTCATTTGTGAAGCAGTGTGTGAGGAAGACTCAAGGACAGAAAATGAATTGCATTGTTTCTCCTGCAGGATTGGAACAAGGCTCCTACAAACATACGGCAGAGGGCTGGAGGCTCTGTTCAAATACACAGTGAGATTAAGAGCTATGTCTGGCTAAATCAAACCCACACAGGGATCACCACATAAGGCATAACTAGGAAATGGGAATTGATTTCTCAGTAAAGTGCTGTATGGATTTCTGTTCCCAGTGATGTATAACTTTCAGAAAACAATGGCTAGAACGTATGCTATCCAGGCGCCGACGGCGGCTCCCTCCCGGCTCAGACTAATGGGATTGCACGCAGATGGCGACATCGTGGAAAAAGCACATACACCCACACAAACGAAACGCATGTGCACGTCCATTCGATCGCTGATGTGAAGTTGACGCAAATTGTTGTACGCTCTCCGAAAACAGTTTTTCTGGGATCAGGGCCTGAAGGCAAAAGCCAAAACCCTTTAAAGGAGTAGTTCCCTTCACAATTTACTCTCCCCCACGTCATCCAAGATGTTTATGTCTGTCTTTCTTCAGTTGAAAAGAAATTAATGTTTTTGAGGGAAACATTCCAGGGTTTTTCTTAATCGGAAACCAATGGTTTTCCAATGGCAAGGAGTCTTATCTAGAGAAACCATCGTCTTTTCTAACCACAAAACTCTCTACGATGCGCCACACATTACGTCAAAAATGACATTTTCTTTTTTCCGACTTTAAATTCGTTCGACATTGTGTTTTACCTTTTTTTTGGCAAACGGCGTTTGACTTGGTCTTTGCACGTTGGCTTTGTAAACACTGGATTGTTTCTTTCGCCCACTCAAAAAATGAACTACGGAGGTTGTGCACTTTACTCATAATATATTTATATATAGTTTACTTATAATAATTGTGTTTTTTGACTTTACATGTTTTTTTCTATTAAGGTCTATGCAATTGTGTCTCAACTTGGCAGTACAAAATCCTAATGTGTTGTCTAAACACAAACCATTTATGTTAAGTAAAAAAAAAGTGTACATCCAGAGGGTGGCAGCCGACTGCAATTTTGCCCTTAATTTTATTGTGTTCTACGATCTACGAACAACTTAATTTTTTCTTAATCCGTTTGTGTTGGATTACATGATTGATTCGTGTTGCCTTAACTGAAACTGGGCGGTGCTTTTAGTTCCCAGCATGCTTTGCATATGGTTGAATTAAGAGAGAATAAATGTTAAAATTAAGTCTTATTTTATGTTTTTTTTGAGAAATTTAGAAAAGGGGAAGACTTGATAGTGTGTAATAGTGATTCATGTTAAATTGTATTGGAATTATTAAACCATTTAAATTACAGTGGGTTACCATTGTGGAGAAGCTGTCGACTGATTTCATTATTTTCAATTGCTTTGAATGAAGGAGCATGTAAATCTTAGCATTCAAGATGCTAATATGTGCTTCTGCTAACAAATAGCTAGCTAATTAATTGTCACTGAATCAAATGATATATAAATGGATGAATGAATATAATAAAATGCCTTTGAATCATGTCAGGACGCCTTTAAAAATTCACGTTGAGACTACTTAAATTGGGTAATTTAAAATTACATAATTCTACTATGTAATCCAGTTACGTGGAACCTGTTGACAAATTAAAATTAATCAAAGCCAACATATAATTTTTTTTTGAGTGTACGTTGCGCTTTGACCGTTCCAATGTGATTATGCAAGATGATAATTTCGGGTTAAAAAGTATATATGAAGAGTTCAGATGCAAAAGCCTCTAAATGCCATTTGAAATTTTCTTCTTTAATGATGATTTTTATCAAGCTTATATATTTAAGTTCAGTAATTTCACTTAAATGGCAATGATAATTACCTATTAATTGTTATTTAAGTGAAATTACTGAACTTAAATATACAAGTTTGATAAAAATCATCATTAAAGAAGAAAATTTCAAATGGCATTTAGAGGCTTTTGCATCTGAACTCTTCATATATATATATATATATATTTAGAAAACGGCGGATGGTTTGTCTAGATCAGACTCTTATTCCTCGGCTGGATCGTGTCGAGGCCCGTCGGACCATTGAAGTCACTATATATGGAGAAAAATCCTCAAAAACATTTCTTTTTGATTGACGAAAGAACATCTCGAAAGACACGGGGGTCAGTAAATGATCAGGAACTTTTAATTCTGAAGTGAACGACTCCTTTAAGGTGATGCAGCAGGTTGGCTCAGTGATTTAGCGCATACACACAGTCTCATTCATCTGAGCCGCCATTCTCACACACACACACACACAATCTCATTTCACACCTCACAGCCCGTGTGAGTAGACTGATAACACCACGATAAGACGCTAGACCCTTCCACCTCGTTTCCTTTTCTCACCAAACACTCGCTGTGCATTTCTGAATGAGAACGGGGAGGTTAAACAGTAAACGGATTGCTCATGGAAATCAAGGAAACCGAATCAAGGAATATGACAAAAACACACACACACACACACTCTTAGCGAGCTGTGAGCTATAAACACTCATCATCTTTACAGCCTATTAATTAAACCTCATAAACACTTTGCCTTTATAGCTGTGGCTGAAGAGCGGTCTGACACTCGAAGGCCATTGGCTGACGGCATATCAAAAGCAGTGCGTTTTAATGAAGGTTCGTCTGGCGTGCAATTCATTTACATCTGTAACAGATAGATAGCGAAGGAGGCAGAACGAGCGGGGGGGTCGATGCTCCAGATGCTGGCATCACTTCTAATGGGCTCTCTGGACGTGTGCGTTTCGCTCTTCCACACACACACACACTCCTCGCTCAAAGCCGTGTGTGAGCGATGGCTCCATTGCTCAATCACACCTCATTCTTTCCAGGGAGCTCCAGTGGAAAAGTTCATTGTGGTAATGCACAGAGTTTGTCAGTATGAATGCATGACAAATAAATCATCTACGACCTCTGGCTCCCATGCAGTTCCTGTACACGCAGCTGGCATATCCCTGAACTGACTGACGGGCACCGGGGCAGCTTTGAGTCTGCAAACACCTTAATGATATCGAGTCGGACCCACTGATAGTCCAGGCTCACCGAGATGAGCTATTCGTCGACAGATATGGCTTTGCCTATGTTAGTCATGGAGTCAGTACTGGCCAAACGGGAGATGTGTGTTTATAGGACCCTGTCAGTTATTAACATTAAGACTACAACATGATTGTTCATAATTTCTTTGCAGGACAAAAACGATGTCGGCACAAATTTGATCGCATTATTATCAGAAGTAAAACAATAGACTGCGTACAACAAGCACAAAATAACACATTCATAATAATATTTGAAGATGTCAATTATTCTGTGTTTTGAATTGCATTATTGAACATTTGAGGACATGTTGATGTTCTGATGTTTATTTTGGTGCAAACCAATTAAATCATTTGGAAATCTTCTTTCACATGCATATACAGTCCCATTGGGGTCGGTAAGACAGAATGCTTTTATTGTAAAGAAATTGATAGTTTTATTCAGTACAGATGCATTACATTGATCTGTGTTGTGACAGTAAATACATTTATAATGTTGCAAAATATCCCTCTATGGATTTTGGTTGCTAAGGTACACGACAATGGTTGCTAGGGAGGAATTTGAATTTCTATTTTCTAAATTTCTAATGTTCTTGTGAACGTTCTATTATAATCAAAAAAAAACTTAAAAATGTATCTGCAAAACAGATAATAACCATAAATATATCTTGATCATCAGATCATCATATTAGAGTGATTTCTGAAGGGTCATGTGACACTGAAGACTGGAGTAATGATGCTGAAATATTTATATTTACAATATATTACAATTAAATCGTCATCAGGCTGAAGAGACCGTCTTGATCTGAGGTAAATTTATTAATTCTGGATGTTGAAATATACTCAAAATGCACCGTGTTCTTTAAACTATTAAAACTGATTATAAGCATGTCCTTTTAACCACTCTAAAACGCTTCATAGCTTTAAATCTGATTTAATGTTGCCGAATGATAAGTAAATCCATTTATAATGTTGCAAAATAAAACATTGTTCTTGTGAACTTTCTATTATATTAAAAAAAAAACCTTAAAAATGTATCTGCAAAACAGATAATAACCATAAATATATCCTGAGCATCAGATCATCATATTAGAGTGATTTCTGAAGGGTCATGTGACACTGAAGACTGGAGTAATGATGATGAATATTTAGATTTTACAATATATTACAATTAAATCATCATCAGGCTGAAGAGACCGTCTCGATCTGAGGTAAATGTATTAATTCTGGATGTTGAAATATACTCAAAATGCACCGTGTTCTTTAAACTATTAAAACTGATTATAAGCATGTCCTTTTAACCACTCTAAAACGCTTCATAGCTTTAAATCTGATTTAATGTTGCCAAATGATAAGTAAATCCATTTATAATGTTGCAAAATAAAACATTGTTCTTGTGAACTTTCTATTATAATCAAAAAAAACTAAAAAATGTATCTGCAAAACAGATAATAACCATAAATGTATCTTGATCATCAGATCATCATATTAGAGTGATTTCTGAAGGGTCATGTGACACTGAAGACTGGATAAATGATTCTGAAATATTTATATTTACAATATATTACAATTAAATCATCATCAGGCTGAAGAGACCGTCTCGATCTGAGGTAAATGTATTAATTCTGGATGATCCTTAAAAATATATCCGCATAAATATATCTAGACCATCAGATCCTCATATTAGAGTGATTTCTGAAGGGTCATGTGACACTGAAGACTGGAGTGATGATGATATATTTCGATTTTAAATGGTCCGATGTCTCTGGCTGTAAACGTATTAATTCTGAACGTTGACTACAAACTATTCAAACTGATTATAAGCACATGTCCTTTTGAATCACTCATAGCTCTAAATATGAGAGCGGCTCGTGCATGCGGTGTGTGTGTGTGTGTGTTTGGACTCACGTGAGGACGTAGTTGACGCTGACGATGCAGTGAGGTCTGGAGGATCTGCTGTTGTGGACGATGGTGGCGTAACTCTGGACCCACACCCAGCCGCCCTGCTTCGCCAGGAACCGGTAGTATTTAGTGGTGACCTGTCCTTTAACCAGCACTACACACACACACACACACACACAATCAATGCAGGAACACATCTCGCACGTTCTTGTGTACTTCCATCCGCAAAAATTGTGATTTTTTTGTTTTGTTGGCCTTACGTGCGTTTCGTTTAAACCTTTTAATTCAGTAAAAGCTAAATACCGCTTTCATTTGCATGTTTAAACCATTCTCACACAGCCTAATAACTATTTATAGCAAATAATGTCACATAATAAGCGATGTTGTGCTGCAGTCAGGAATGCGATGGATAAAACAATGGATAATAGAAACTGGCTTCTCGCGTTAAATCTGGCGGGCTAATTTAGTTACAGATAGATTGCGTGTTTAATGAGAGTTCACGCTCAAATCAGCATCTCCTGTATGATCAATCGTGCGGGTGACGCGGAGAGACGTCGCTGTTATTCTTAGACGCTGTGGAGGAATGAGGAAAAACAAACCTAACTCACACAAGTGGTGCGCGCAGCGGAGATGGAAAGTGTCACAGCTGTGGACGTGATGATAAAGTGTCTTCTCGATCAAGTCTTGCGGCTCGTAGCCGGTGAGCTCCGCCACCCTGACCAACACAAACACACACACAACAGAATGACAATAGTGTTGGCGTGAGCACAAACACCTGTGCACACACACCGATCTGGTTAAACGTAAACCCAACGTGACTAAACACAGCTGCGTATGAGCATAGAGAGACAAATACGTGTTTAAACAAAGCTGCATTTACACACAAGCTTCTCTTTGAGTCAGTCACTGCTTTGTACTTATTTTTCAGCACTTCAACAAAATTATATGTCATAAATATACATTTAAAGGAGTAGTTCACTTTTAAAAAACTTTTGCTGATAATTTACTCGCCCCCATGTCATCCGAGATGTCCGTGTCTTTATTTCTTCAGTCGAAAAGAAATTAAGGTTTTTGATGAAAACATTCCAGGATTTTTCTTCATATAATGGACTTCAATGGGGTCCAAACGGGTCAAGGTCCAAATGAGAGTTTCAGTGCAAACTGTTCAAAGGGCTTTAAACGACTCCAGACGATGAATAAGGGTCTTATCAAGCGAATCGATCGCTCATTTAATAAATAAATAACAAAGTTTAAGTTTTATAAGCTCAAATGCTCGCCTTGCTCTGTTCTGTGTGACTCTCCTGTTCGAACTCGATCATCAAAATGAACAAATCTTTTCCTGAGTCAAATTTGACTTGAAAAAAGATTCGTTTATTTTGATGAACTCCTGTAACAGGAGAGTCACACAGAACAGAGCAAGGCGAACATTTGAGCTTATAAACTTAAACTTTGTTATTTATTTATTTATAAAAGAGCGATTGTTTCGCATGATAAGACCCTTATTCATCGTCTGGAATCGTTTAAAGCCCTTTGAACAGTTTGCACTGAAACTGTCTTTTGGATCTTGACCGTTTGGTTCCCATTGAAGTCCATTATATGGAGAAAATCCTGGAATGTTTTCATCAAAAACCTTAATTTCTTTTCAACTGAAGAAAGAAAGACATGAACATCTTGGATGACATGGGGGCGAGTAAATTATCAGCAAAAGTTTTTTTTAAGTGAACTACTCCTTTAAGTATTGAGTAATAATAAGCAACTGCATGTATTGACTATTGGGTTAGGGATTGGTTGAGGGTTAGTTGCATGTAATTATGCATTATTACTATGGTAAGTAACAAGGACACTGTAAAGTAAAGTGTGTTTGTGAGTGTGCTGAGCAGAACACACAGTACCTGGAGTCCAGGAAGATGAGCTTCATGTCCAGACTGGCTCTGAACATGAACATGTTGCTGTGGAGCTTGATCTCGGTGACGGCGCTGGGCGGCAGAGAGTGACCGACGGCCACGAGACCCACGTTCTGATAGCAGCCGTCGAACGGAGACATGTCCAAACTGTACTGACGGACCTTCAGATACCCGCTGCAGTGGATCACCTGGCCAAACACACACACACACCGACTTATGCATCAATACAGATCAAAAACACTCAATATACAAGTACGATCTGAACATTGCACATGCTGACTTTTTATAATATTCAATTCGAGTTTATTTGCATCACGCCTTTCACATCATTTTAAAGCAGCTTTACAGAAAATGCACGAGTCCACATTACATCTGTTTTCAGAGGAACTGTCTAAGTTATGCATTTCAGAAAATCACAGTTGGCGAAAAATGTATTCATTTATACAATGTAATAATTAAAGTCAGAAACAATGAGCTCATTGAAGTAATAAATACTTGTTTGTTAACAAATGCTTTAAAATATGATGAGATCCTCACACTATGTAACATTAAAAAATCCTCACGATAAGCTTCGATATAAACTCTAGGATTCTTGACTCTTTGTGTCTAAAATGATTGCATAATACTTTGTTTAATTGGTTATTTCAGGTTTTTATAGTGATAATGCATGTTTATGAGCTTCTAAATTCATAAAATGTAATTATAGTTATATTCATAAAATTATCCCATGATGGGAAGCTCTCTATATATGAAGAGTTCAGATGCAAAAGCCTCTAAATGCCATTTGAAATTTTCTTCTTTAATGATGATTTTTATCAAACTTGTATATTTAAGTTCAGTAATTTCACTTAAATAACAATTAATAGGTAATTATCATTGCCATTTAAGTGAAATCACTGAACTTAAATACACAAGCTTGATAAACATTTTCATTCTAGAAGAAAATTTCAAATGGCACTTAGAGGCTTTTGCATCTGAACTCTTCATACGAAGTGTTTAAGATTCTATATAAGAAATATTGACCTGTATTCAGCCTGATTATGCTTATAATAAAGATAATGTCCATTAGTTAACTACCTTATTAATATGGACTGAGAATGAACTCATTCTCTTATTTAATATTAATTTCAACATTTACTAATACATTATAAAAGTTTGTTAACATTAGTCAATGCACTGTGACCTAAACACAGAATGAACAGCTGGATTATTATTCACTAACATTAATGTATTATTAGTTCATACATTAATGTTAACTAATAAACCTTATTGTAAAGTGTCACCGATACTTGAATGCACAACAGCACACACACACACACATCAATAATAAAGATGAGGACGGCCTACCTTGTATCCGCCACACGTCAAGCCTGCGTTTCTTTTAGCAAGGACGCATTTCATTCTCAAAAAGAAAGATCGCTCCATTTCATATTCTAGAACAAGAACCGTAAGAAGCAGAAGGTGAGTGAGTGCATTAACAGATGGAGATGAACAGGAGTGTGTGTGTGTGTGTGTCTCACCGTGGACGAAGTGTGAATGATACGGCTGGTGTGCGGTCAGCACTGCGGTCATCTCGTCGTGGTCGGCCGGGTGGATGTACTCATAAATACTGTTCCCCGTCAGCTCTACCTGTTAGAATGAGCTTCTGTCATTGCAGTCAGAGCTGACACACACACACACACACTGCGACCTCGAGACAGACACACACTGAAACACGCACGTTACCTGTGACAGCCCTAAATGCACCGATGCCGTTTCGGAAATGTACATGATTTTCCCATCAGGAGCCACCACAAAAATGAAGCCGTCCAAAGTCTGAAGAAAATAACGGGACACTTTATTCCTACATGTTCCATTACTATAGTAATTACTATAAAATGTGTTTAATTACATGTAATAGAAAAACATGTAGTTAATTATTATTACTCAAAAAATTGAAGATTTGAAAATTTAAAGGACAATTTATTGATGCATTTATTTACATTAATTCATTATCTCAATCAATTGTTTGTCATTTTAGGACAGGATGTAATACAATTAACATTTGAATCATTGATCAAATGTGTAACAATAAGTAAAACATATAAATAGAGAAGGCATTTATAAAAATAAGTTTAATCATTTAATGAAATTATGAAATATAATAGCTACCTATACAAAAATCTGATTAACACTTAAAACAAATTTAAATCTTGATATCTCGATGTCCACAAGCAATGCGACCCGAACCGACGCGATTTCGACACAATCGTTCAAAAAAAAAGTCCAATAGTGCAGTTTCATAATTTGATATCAGAATTTGCACATTTGAATCATTACATCTAGCTTTAATAATATATGATGTGTGTGTTCTCTACCTGAAGCAGATGAGAGCCTAACTCTCGGCCCACATTATCCAGAGAACCGCGACTCACGTGACCCCAAGATTCGCCGAGACCTGAACAAACACACCCGTTTATTACAAATAAAAATATGGAAATCACACAACGAGCAGACTTTAAAAATAATCAAAAACAGAAATAAAATGCCTCTAATGTTCATTCGTGATGGAACAATAGACTACAATTCTACAACAGCAGCACAAAAATAGGCTAACAGCAGCAAAAATAATAGTCTATCGTCATCTGACGATCAGTTAGTCAATATTTTAACACTGTATTGACTGTAAACACGCTGAATGTAAATGAGGAGTATTTATGAAGGCGGTGAAACTCGATAAAGCAAACAGTCTGACACACACAATCCTTATTGAAATGCAAATCACACGAAAACAAACATCAGATCAAAGCAAAAGCTCTGATTCCACTTTAATATTAAACAAACATGGAGTCCGCGTTTATCCCATAGGTTTATCCAGCAGAAACAATCGCTATATATGCTCCTCAAATAGCTGACTGAAAACAACCATTTTCATATGTTTTTTTTTATCAGACTCGCAAGAAATATAGCTGCAGATAAAAAACGTGACTCTGTTGCTGCTTTTAAAAATATTAACAAAATAAATATTTTAATAGCCTATTATGATAGCAACATGATATAGCTATAGACCGAGACTGAGCTTTCTAAAGACAGTTTATGTTATACAAATATTTAAGTTTATTAGATAACTTTTAATAAATAAAATTATTAAATGAATAATTATTTATTAAATAAAAATATTTATATTAATAACAACAACAATAATAATACAACTGTCGGAACAATCGTAATTGCTCTCAAAACATGTCATAGGGCGCGATTTAACCGCCAATGCGGGTGGACGCATCCCGATGGATCCAAATGTACACTCTAAAAAATGCTGGGTTGTTTTAACCCAATTTTGGGTCAAATATGGACAAACCTAAAATGCTGGGTTAAAAATGTAATGTAAAAATTTAACCCAACGGCTGGGTTAGTCCATATTTGACCCAAAGTTGGGTTAAAACAACCCAGCATTTTTTAGAGTGTAGACACAAATATGGACAAACCCAACCAATATTTAGTTAAAAAAAATAAACAAACGCTGGGTGAAAAGAAGTTCGAAAATATAAACAATAGTTTAAGTTTAAACAGTACACTAGTTGTTTTTTTTTTAAATGTAAAACAAACGTTGGTTTTAAAAATGTAAAAAAAAAAAATAAAATAAATAAAATAAAACGACCCGTAGGTTTAAAATGTAAGTAATTAAAACGAACCGTTGGGGTTAAAAATATAAAATAAAATAAACCAACGGTTGTCCATGTGTGACCCAAACTGGGTTAAAAAAGTGCATTTTTTAGTGTAAAGAGAAGTTCTGATGATTCGCCGGGAATGAATGCCTCTGAACACCCGTGAGCTCATCACATTATGAACTTACATCAGCAATAAGAGACAGACACACACACAAAAATAAGAATATTTCAATGAATCTCTACAGCAAAAATGTGTCGGTCATTTTAACAAAGTCATTTTAAAGTTATTCAGTTCTTCTGGAGAAGCACTGAACCCGTTTCTTCGGAGAACATTTGTTTTCACAAGCCCGAAAAGTCTTTTAGGCCTATTTATTATGCCAAATGCATTCTCTAATAGGCATATAAATAATCATTATATAAGCTGTTGCCATTTTTGATTTTCGAATGACCGTAAAACAAATTTACATTCAAGACATATCATTGGTAAAAATAAAATAAAAAATGATTCAACCAAATATGAGCGAAAACCACAGAGGGATAAAAAGGCACCAGATAAATAAAAACGGGAAACTATGCCTATTGCGTTCAGTGGATTTATTAGACTGGTGGAATATTCGAGGATTATTTGACAGCAGTGTCCGTCAGAATTATTCTCTTCACAGCCGAGCAATAAATAACCACCATAAAACCACCTTCCTTCATTTTCTAATAAAACTTTACTGTCTCATTTCCTCGAGCTGTCTTTACTCTGACCTCACTGACCTTTAACCCGCGCGAGTTTCATTCACATCAAAACATTTCAGAGGAATGATTCCGGAGCTGGACAGAGAGAAGGAAATGTGGATTTTTACCATATGCTTATTTCTATATAACCTGTAACACGCGCACACCGCGAGCCGAATACACATGTAGCCTAATTCACACGAATATAAACATGTTACTTCACTCCTGAGTCTCTTTATCGGGTTCAGACAATCAAGCAGCTTCGTTTCTGTTTCTGTTCATTTCCATCAAATATAATAGATCTAATGTATAATAAACATAATTTCTCTTTTTTTTCATAATGATATTCAAACCATAATAGGCATGTCATCACATAAAGTAGGAGTTAAGCTGTGATGTATTTACTGTATTTACACTGTTTTAGCTCGTCTTTTCTCTCGATGTTACTCCTCATTTTATGCCTGATGAAATGCCGCTGAGTCAGGGCCGGCTCTATCCCTTTGGTTTCCCTATAAGACTGTTTTTTTTGCATGTATATTTATTAATAATAAATAATTAATTAATGTGTATATTTATTTTTTTGTATTTTTTGGTACATTTAAGCACAATTTATTTTTCGACTTATGGCCAGTTGTGGTCTGTGCAATATTAAATATTAAAAGTTCTAAACCTAAACCATAGGCTATGTATTATGTATGCCTACTGTTCTTCTATAGTAATGATAATATTTAAAATAATACATAGCATTTTGTTGGTGTCTCCGGAGTGATGGCATATCCACAAACTTTTTACATTTTTTTTAAATATTTTTTTTTTACACCCTTTTACATTTTTCTTTTAAAATAATAATAATAAATGTCGATAATATTTGTTTCGTGTCGTTATGTTCTGTCAGGTGTTGATCGGACGATGATAAGTGCCGTTGATCGTCTTCAGTAACGCAGAACAGAAATTGGAAAATAATACGCTAATAATCTCAAAATATAGGACGTCTGAGTGCGAGTGTCGGAACTATATACATTCAAATACAATCAATCTACTTGCTTTAATAAAAATCACGAAACCCCTTTTTGCTTTATACAATTCAAGAAAGCATATAGGCTACATTTTTACATTATAAATAAAGAGAATAAAATTAAAATGCAGCGATGTGGCAGGCCGCAAATACCTTCATGTTTTCTCTCCGCGTGCGCGTTTTAAAAGACGAACAGGCCTCAAATAAAGTCGTCTTATTAAAAATGTTTAAATCACTCTTCCGTTGCGTTTTTTTGGATGTTTGATGATGATTTCATAAGGTCCATATTTTCTGAAAATGATGTACATGAGATCCAACTGTAAACCGCTGTCCTTTAAGGCCTTCACATGTAGCATATCTAAATCAAAAGACTATTAAAACAATAATGTAATTAAATAAAATAACGATACACCAAAAAATGCTGGCTTGTCTCAACCAATGTTTGTGTCAAATATGGACAAACTCAACCGTTGATTTAAATTAGCCTACATTTTTAAACCCAACGGTCGGTTTGTCCACTCAGACTATTCATATGAACGGTTAATATTTTAGTAATAACACCACATTAATAATAATAGGCCTATATTCTTCATATTATTACAGCTGACAATAACACCAATAGGCCTATGCTGTAACATTTTCTAACATGAATTAGGCTTCACCCAGAAGACGCCGTCCAAAACCCAGCACACACGCACACGCACACACACACACACGGTGTTCCGTACCTTCAGGGAACACTATCCTCATCTTCAGGTAGCTGGTGGTCAGTCTGATGATGGAGGCTTTGTCCAGCTGAGAGGTGATGGCCGAGGGCAGAGGCAAGAGTTTGGCGAGCTCATAAAACTCGCTATTCTCCTTCTCTCGACGGGTGCGCGCCGCGTTCTTCGACTTCTCCTTCATATTCCCGGTGACTGACAGCAGATCAGATCAAGATCTCAGCTCAAACTCAAGATCTCAGCACGGTTACCCGCATAGGAAGGGTTCAGAAGCGTCCTGAAAGCGTTCCTGCCATTCCCAATTCCCAAACTCTTTCCCGCTGTTCCTTAAGATGTATTACACGCAGACCTGAGACAAACACACCTTCATGATTATGATTAGTTTGTCTAATCCGCAGTGAGTCTTAATTTACACACATGAAATCAATCCACTCGGGCCCAGAATCTCTTCAAAGTTCCTTCCATCAATCCATCCATCAGATGCGCTTAATATTCCTGGAAAACAGCAGATTCACGCTCATTTCTCTTCCGACCTTTAGATGCACGTGTCTTGAGGAAAACGCTCTAATTTATCAACTATACCACACATTTAATATTAACATTAAATGAACGTTTATTATCTTAAACTGCGCATTTTCTTTCTACATATAGTTTTGACCTCGGCTACTCTATTTTTGTATGCATGCGGGGATGTCATTGCGTATTTCGCCTTTATAACATCATCATTTGTTGAAGTAAAACTTTAGGCGAGCACTTGCACGTCATCTTACCTCATATATCAGATCACACTGCGAGCTCGCGCTGCCTTCATAAATCCATAACTCCACATCGAGAATTATCCAGCCTGGCTTTAATTCGCGCTCAATTCCACAGCAAACACGGGAAACATCTTTGTATCCAGAAGGATCGTGTTTGGAGGAGTTTGCTGAAGTCTTTCTGTCTGGCTAACACTCGGACCCTCCCCTGATCTCAGCTCATTGGACACCGAAGGACCGGACAGGGTTTTCCCGGGTTTTCCCATTGGATCGCATTCACTAGCGGCCGATCCACGAGGAATCGGGATTTGTTCGAAGCGCTGACCTCTGACCCATAAGACACTATGAATAACATTTGCATTTAAATCTATCTATCTATCTATCTATCTATCTATCTATCTATCTATCTATCTATCTATCTATCTATCTATCTATCTATCTATCTATCTATCTATCTATCTATCTATCTATCTATCACCAACATTTAACTACACATCTATAATATGCAATGTAAAAAAACAAAATGCAGGTGTTCATGTGATTTTAAAGGCATATACACTAGAGTTGGTGTTATTATTGTCCTGTTTTTTAATCTGCAGAAACACAGATCTGCGGTCCACGTTCATAAACGGCTGATTATGGGAATAAATCCCTCTCTTCTATCACGCTGAATAAAGATCCAGCATTTCTCTAGACTTTAGATTTCTTCACATTATAATAGCCAATTTAAACCAGTTTTACATTTCACCATTTTCTGTGATATCAATAACAGCCAATATAATAAAAGATTTAAAGATAAATATAGATAGAACAACAAAAAAAGCCTGGTTTTCTGCAGCAGATGTGTGAATGCTGAAAGCTGTGTGTCTCAGGAGGGCATCGGTGTGTGTGTGTGTGAGTGTGTGTGTGAGAGGAAATCACCTGAAGCAGGAGAAAATCAGACAGGATGAGCCCGAAACACGAAGCGCTTGATGCCGCTTTAACCTTTTCCTAAAGCCGGAATTTGCTGCTGATTAAACGGCGTCGGTGGAAAAGAGAACAATCGAAAATACTTTACAATATATGATGAAGTCCTCAGTAGGGACTCAACACCACCGCCATTACAACCATCGGCAATACATCAACGCTCTAAAGCAATTAAACAATTAGGATTTCTAATCGCTCTGTTACGGTGTCTGTGTTCATTCACAAACAAGCCTTGCAGAAAAGAGAAGATGAGGCGTTATATCAGCGGTCCAAGCGAATCATTACATCATTATTATACTAATATATCAAAACTTCACCATCTAATATGATGAATACAAAAATATGCTGAAATAGCGGAACATTCCTTAAAATCTTTAATTCATTGGAGAAGTGATATGTAGAAATAGTCATAATAACAGAATTGCAGATTTTGACCCTGACATGTCAAACAGAAAAGCGTGTGGGAAATTGTTATGCATATTTGGACAGTGAGCAAACACTGGAAACAGTTGTGCTGGATTCAAGAGTTTTTATTTTATACATTCAACAAAACTTTCCACACAGAACATTTTCAGAAATTCAGAAGAAACCTTTTTTTTAAAATATATAATTATTTAGTTTTAATTTGACAAATACAATGTCTGCACTGAAGTACCACAGGGTGTTATAGGCGACCCAAAGTGAAAATTAGTAATAATAAAGGCAGAAAAAGTGAACTTTAGATGTTTCCTCTCCATTACAAACATCTAAACGTGTTAGAAAAGGGTTGAACACACTTTTATTTCAATGTTTCATTGAAAGAAAAAAATTGGCACTTGCGCAGTGCATTTTTCCTAGAACTTACAAAGCAACCCCAAGCCAAAGCGTTTGACTATTTGGGCCAAATCATCTAAATGTAAAACAGGGTTTTTTCCTAGAACTTCTCGCCGATCCCCAGCCAGAGCGCTCCGGTTTGTTTCTGCGCTCGCTCACGCTCACTTCCGTCCGGGTGAGAGCTCAGTGTTGACCTGTGCGGAGATGCTGGCCGGCTGGACGTTCAGGCGGAGGTCGTACTGCTGATCCAGGCCCAGGTAGCTGTCGCTCATCAGGTACAGCGTGTAGATACACCTGAGGAACACTCACACTTAACACTGCAACAATACATCTTTACACTTCGTATTGTTGTCTCGTTTCCACTACAAATATAAAACATTTATTTTTATCACTGAAGTAGTAAAATGCCATAAGATATTATGTCTTGTTTTCAGGGGCAAAAAAAAAATAAATAAAAAAAATTGGAGAGTTTTTGATTAAAACAATCAATCATCTACTGTAGAAATGGGGACAGAAAGATAATCTTAAATCAAACAGAAACACGATTAGTTTTCTCACCCCATTGGCAGAACATCTCGCTTTCTTGAAAATTTTCCATCCAGAAAACAAGACAATAATCTCTTGGCATTTTACTCATCTAGTAAATGCATCTTGATTTAACCCTAAAACCGTATTCTGGACAAAAGTGGGCAACATAGTTTTGATTTATTTTTAAACAATACTTCCCTTGATCTGAGCGGTGGGCTACTTTTCCTAAGTTTGCCTCATGAACACACACAATTTTTTTTTTTGACTCAATTCTACAATGTTAAGTGGGTGGAAAAAACCCAGAAAGAAAACTCCTTAATCTTGTATTTGGTTCAAAAATGGGCACCCATTGAAATGAATGTAATTTAGAGCATTCTACAATTAGCCCAAATAAGACACCAGGCGACAGCAAAGTCACTTCATCTTTAGGTTTTAGCTCTAAGAACTTATTGAAATGATATTTTAATGTGGTTAGAAAAATAATAAATAAATAAAACATAAAAATAAGCACAATTTACATAGAAAATGGGGTACTTTTTGAAGTAAATAAATTCAAAAATACCCCCAAAATATAAAAAAAAAACACCATAAATGGATAGGCAAAACTTTATCCAAGACAGTGATATAACATTTATAATAAATAAAAATTAGGATCACACCTGAGTCCTCTGTGCCCACATTTGTCCACAATTACAGGATTAAGGGCTATAAAGTGAATACGGTTTGAGAGTTAAGAATCTTTCGATATTTGGACTGGAAACATCATTTTTTTTCTTACTTCCCGGTGTTCTCGGGCGTGTAGAAGGCCACGGACACACTGCTGCGGCTGCGGATGAAGCCCACGCGCTTGATGGCCAGCAGATCTTTCTTCTCCACCTCCCCCAGAACCAGGAACCAGCCCTCGTCTTTGGGTTTGGGGAAGCGTGGCGCCTGAGCCCGGCTGTCCTGCCGCCTCTGAAACCAGGGACGAGTGTGAACAGCGTCAGGCTTGATGAACCAGTGATTGGGTTTGGGGATGGTGGGTACCAGGGCTGGGTACTGACTCAAATTTCACAATTCAATTCGATTTCGATTCAATATTGATTATTTTGGATATCAGGTACAATAAATGGCAATTTTTTTCAAGGAAAACAAACTAATGCTGTAAACTGGGAGTCAGCTGTAGCCTATACGCTTCATTAGTCTACTATAATGTTGAAGGTAAACATTAGCTGATTTGTAGCTCTACAAACAATTAAATCACACATTTATTTATATGTCTAATAAGAAAGTTATATGAAATATAAACATTTAAACGTGATTTATTCAAACAAGCATTAAATATTGAAGAACAATGAATATGTAATACGGTGTATATATTTAGCAGAATTCTCCTCTGTAGAGTTCATTTTTCTAGCTGACTAAGATTATGGTCACATGGTTTTTCTGAGGTAAATGTGGCGATACTGACGTCTTTCCACGGATGGAGCGATGTCACATGATACAGATTTGGATAAGTTGTACTCTTCATTTAACACACTTTCAGACGCTCATTCATGTGTATGTGGCGCTGTAACTGGTATTATTAAGGCAGAAGAGGAGGTCATGTGACCTGAGCCAGAGCGATCTCACGCCACAGCGCCAAACCAGTATTTATGTTTCTGAATTTCGTAAGAAAATGGACGTGATTCAAAATTTGAGACTTTATTTCATAATAGTCCCAAAGCACAAGGAGAATTGTGATTTATAGGATGAGATGCAATGCTCCATTCATTCATCAAATAATCGAGTCTTGAGATTTAAGAATCGATATCGGTTCGTAAAAATGAGAATCGATTAATATGGAGAAATTGATATTTATTACCCAGCCGTAGTGGTTACTCAGCCTGTTGATTGGTGTGTGTGTGAGTTGGACTGAAACCAGTGACTGGAGCGTCTGGGGAAGGAAAGGCTAGCGTGTGTGTGTGTGAGAGACTCACCCTCTGCTGGCCGGCGTTGAGTCTGCGCAGGGACACCTGTAGGACGTACTCCTGATCCGCGTGCAGGGACAGCCAGCTGGACTCGTCCCGGATGTTGGACACACTGGAGGGGACGGCTCGCTCCGTCTGCTCCACACACTCTTCCCACCAGCCCTTCACACTCAGACTGACCTCCACCACGGGCAGCTGACTCACGTACAGCCACGCCTGACCATCAACACACACATCAGGCAAAGTTCTGGGTCATTATTCAAATATTTACATAAGAAACATACATGACAGGTACAACAAAAGACAAAAGAATTGTGAAATATACAATACAGCAATAGAAATGTAAAATATTCACATATTAGTTTTACCATACAGTCAGTGTTGGGTGTAACTAGGTAATTAGTTACCGTAATTTAATTACTTTTCCCTTGAAAATCTAAAGTAAGGGATTACTCTTCATTTATCAGTAATTTAATTACAGTCACTTCTGATGTAATTGAGGTAAATATTGTGTATGGATCAATCCGATCTCACAGCGATTCGTATGAGGTGTCTAAATCGTACGACCGCACTCGTATAAATTCGTATGAATTATTGTAAAATATGTATGAAAAAAGTGTGAAATGTCATGAGATCAGACATAAAACAATAGTGGGTTTCACATCAAAATGTATTGTCTGATGCTAAAAAGTATGTTTTTATAATGTAACCTTCTCCACCTTGGTCAGTTTAAGGATAATTCATGCAATTTTATAGTATTTATTTGAAAGAATTAAAACAGATTCATGTCTATCCTTGTATTATTCAGCTGGTTGAGACTGATATGGGATTTTGAAAGTAATTAGTAATTAAAAGTGATTAAATACTTTTTAGAGAGAGTAATTAGTACAGTAATCTAATTACACTGTAGAA